AAATCCTGTTGTGCTCAGCTTGCAGATCCCCGAAAACCTGCAAGCTTGGGCTCGAGCACACCGCAATTGTTCGGGACACTCCTGTCGCCACTGCAAGGATGCCTCTTGCAGTGCGACGTTGGCCTGCACTGTCTGCAGCGTGCCTGGCCGTTTCCCCCGTGTTTCGGTCTCACCTTCGTTTTCCACACAAGTGAGCGAGGAACCCAAACTCACCTTCAGCACAGCCCTCAATCCAAATGAGGGTCGGTGGGTTTTGCTCACCCAGAGACAGCAGGAATCTCTGGTGAGCAACAGGCTCTAGCGTCACCCCTCAAGCAAATCGAGGCTGCAACTCTCACTGTGACCCAGAGCAGACTGTAGGCCACAAGGTTCCCTCAGCAACGCGAGGACGAAAAGTTTCCCTCTAGCGTTCCCTCAGCAACGCGAGGACGAAAAGTTTCCCTCTAGCGAAGCGAGGCCGAAGACTGTGCACTCGAACGTCCTTCGTCGACGGCAGCAGTTCGCGGGCCGCCGCTCTATGACAGCTTAGCCGGTCAGCCGGCCTACGAGCAAACACAGTTTTGCCAGGGCCTCAAAACGGAACCTACCCTTAGTTACAAGCCCCAGAGCCAGCCACAACGGCACTAAAGACGCTCTCTACCTGAGCACCCCACCGGGGTTGAGCCGAAACCTTGAGCCAGACAGGAACTTTCGTCTGCACGCTGCGAGGCGTAGCCACCCGAAGGGGCCGTTGGTCAAGGTGAAACTAAACTAAAAATTACCTCGCTTGAGGTGTTGCGTTCTCAGCTAGGCCCTCTCTCAGCTGCAACCCTCAGCACTCGCGAGGCCGAACTTTGCCTTCCGCATGCATTGCTGTTGAGGCACTTGTTGTGGCATCAGCCTCCGTAAGTTTGGCAATCCCCACTCAGCACTGGATGTTCTGTTCGAGGCATATTTCCTCAGCGCATGCGAGGCCGCAAAGTAAAACACGTGAGGTATGAAAAACTGCTACTCCAGGTTCGTCCGCAGCTCCGGCTTTCTCGCACTTACTAACCGTGCCTTGCAGCCTCCCCCAAAGTAGCGTCACCCTGGCTTTCTCGCTCTTACTCACCAGTTGACCAATAATGCATCTCACGCGGTTGCTTCATGGTAAAACTGCAGCTCGAGGTCCCGGCGTTCTCGCTCTTACTAACCCGGACCGACACTGCAGTGAAGCATTGACTGTTGTTCCCTCAGCGGAGGCGAGGCCGAACAACCATTGCGCTGCATCAGCGCAGCCAGGCCCTCAGCTCCTCACTGAGCCAGGGCTCTCTTTAGACAGAGTTCCCTTGCTGGCAAGCCCTCTATCTCTATGTGACCCCCGCGGTGCCTCGTATAAGCAGCTGCACCGCGTGTCTTAGGACCACAGTTTTCATTCGGATTTGTTGTTGTAGGCCTTCCAGTGCTTGAGGCCGAATCCAAACACCACATCTCACGTCACAAGGCTGGCAATTTGGCTCCAACATCTGAAGATAGTAACACATACTCTGCGTGGCGTCCGCGTGAGCTAGCCTGTCCTTTCTTTAGGAGTTCGGCTCCATTCATCGCTTGTCTTACCACAGGTCTCTTTCGGTGGCCCGTACTCAGCAGCCAGCACATGTACCATCCTCAGACGCCAGAGCCGCCTTGCCCCAGCAAGTGCCCATACAAACCACTCACCAGACAGTGAGAGCCAACATCTTCAAACTACCTCCAGCGGCCGTGCCGCGAGGACCTAAACACAGACCCCAGCCCTTGCAGGAGACGTGGATGTAAACAAAAGCAGGCCTGCCATGTCCAGCAGGCTGATTACCATTGGTTGCCTTCAGATGGGAAAAGCGCGAAGATCGGGTAACCTCCATCTGAATCCTTCCGGCCAATACCAACCCTTACAAACCCTCAGCACGGAGCGAGGCCGAAGGAGGCTTTCTTGGACTATTGGTTTTCCGGGGAGCAGCCACCAACAGCTGCTCTTCAACTTGCACTGCGCCGCACCACAGTCCTACTGCAAGTTCTTTGGCAACGGTTTCTCAGTAGCACCAGTCAATGAGCTTTACGACACTGATGCCTCTGGTTATTTGTGTCCAGGCAGATCCACCAGGGTTGGGCCAAATCTTTTCTACCTGATTCTACCTGCGAAGAAAATCCTGTTGTGCTCAGCTTGCAGATCCCCGAAAACCTGCAAGCTTGGGCTCGAGCACACCGCAATTGTTCGGGACACTCCTGTCGCCACTGCAATGATGCCTCTTGCAGTGCGACGTTGGCCTGCACTGTCTGCAGCGTGCCTGGCCGTTTCCCCCGTGTTTCGGTCTCACCTTCGTTTTCCACACAAGTGAGCGAGGAACCCAAACTCACCTTCAGCACAGCCCTCAATCCAAATGAGGGTCGGTGGGTTTTGCTCACCCAGAGACAGCAGGAATCTCTGGTGAGCAACAGGCTTGCGTCACCCCTCAAGCAATGCGAGGCTGCAACTCTCACTGTGACCCAGAGCAGACTGTAGGCCACAAGGTTCCCTCAGCAACGCGAGGACGAAAAGCTTCCCTCTAGCGAAGCGAGGCCGAAAACTGTGCACTCACGCCCTTCGTCGACGGCAGCAGTTGGCGGGCCGCCGCTCTATGACAGCTTAGCCGGTCAGCCGGCCTACGAGCAAACACAGTTTTGCCAGGCCTCAAAACGGAACCTACCCTTAGTTACAAGCCCCAGGGCCAGCCACAACGGCACTAAAGACGCTCTCTACCTGAGCACCCCACCGGGGTTGAGCCGAAACCTTGAGCCAGACAGGAACTTTCGTCTGCACGCTGCGAGGCGTAGCCACCCGAAGGGGCTGAGGTTAGAGGGTGAAACATACAAACTACAAACTCTGCACAGTGAGACTACCGGTACTAGCCCTCACTTCCCTCAGACATTTGTCGAGGCCGAAATCCATGCCCTCATACCGTGGTCGAGGCCGAAATTCCCTCAGGACTTGCCGAGGCCGAACTTCCTTCATTTGCACCCCTCAGACCAGAGTCGAGGCCGAAACTTCCTCAGGCAGCACGCCGAGGCGGTATTTCTTGAGTCGGTTGGTGCTTCTCAGACCACTAGCCGTGTTTCTTTCTGGGCTACGCTGCTCACTCATCAGCTTCGTCATGTGGCATGCCCAGCGTGATTTTCTGGATCTCTGTTGCCGGAACCGAAAGTAGGGTTCCATCCCATCCTCGTTTTGCAATCCCGGCATCCAGCAGGTGCTGGGCAAATGGCCCGACATTGCCTACGCACGCCATCCAAAGCGCGCTGGCCTTGCCGTCGTACGTTCTGACCAATCCACGTATGGTTGCCAGTAGCTCCTCATCATACTTCTCCAGGAGGCGTACAAGGCCGCTTGATAGCTTGTATCTATCCTCCTGCAGCGTCGTCCACTCCGCCGTGTCAAAGAACACTGCCCGTGGTAACGATCCTGACATTGGGTCGCGCCCAACGTTGCTCACCGTGACATCCGATAGAGCAACTCCTTGCATGGTCAGCCATGACGTTATAGCCACCAGGTAAAACAGGGACTGTCTGAGGATCCCGGCTTCATGGCGATTTTCCTGCCACCATGTGTTGAACAGCTCTGCCCTGCGGATGATACTTCCATAGAAGTAGTGGTGGCAATAACCCTCCACCGCTTCGTCGAAAAGGACTCCAATCCATCCTGCCCACAGGGTCCTGGTGACCAGGGTGGGGAATTGTTCCCCATACCCTGCTTCGTTGCCAAAGCTCTGGGGTTCCATCGCCAGTTTCATGACCCATAGCCGATCCAGAGCATATCCTCGTCGAGTGCGCCCTGCACCTATGAAGGGAAGCACCCTAGGCTGTAAGCTTTGCCCTGTCGTTGGGTTGCGGACCAATTGGACCTCCCCAAGCCAATGGAGCGCAGTCCTTGGCCTTTGCTCATGTCTTCCTTTTTCTCCTTTCCCTCAGCTTCCTGCGAGGCCATATTGTGGGCACCTGGCCCTTCCGCCAGCGTGACTGTACGAGGCTCGCTTGCCTCTTGCTCTGTATTGACACCCTCAGCTTGGCGCGAGGCCGCTCTGTCTTCTCCTCTCTCCCGTAGGCGTACCGGACCCACCGGAGATTCCGAAGCACTCTCCTCTTCCCTATCCCAAGGCTGCTCCGGGTGTCTGGCCTGTCGAAGCGGGGAACGTTCTCGGGGCGGGTCCTTCTGCTTGTTCTTGCTTTTGCCCTTGCCTTTGTCCGGCCGATTCCTTAACCAGGATGGCAATCGGGACCCTTGTCTTCTCATCGTAGCATCCGTCTTCCATTGCCTCATTGCTAATGGCCCACCTTGAGGATGAGGACGCCTTGTTCCACCCTCAGCTCTGCGAGGCCGAGGCCTCCTCTCTTTCCCTCAGCGGTGTCGCAAGCACACGGCACCGCGAGGCCGAGCTGCACTCCCTCAGCAAAGCGAGGCCGTAAACACCAATCGCAATTCCCCGTTGCGAGGCCCTCACCCTCAGCTACGAGGCCGAACCCCTGTCTCCTTGCACCAAACGGCTGCGGATTTACTGCGTCCCCTCAGCTTGGCGAGGCCTAACAAACAATGACATCTTCTGCTGTGCGCTGGCTTGGGGCTTAGCTTTGGCGTGTTTCCCACCAAACTGAACGCGAGGCTGTTGAAACTGGACGTTGCTCATACTTCCACCATTGACAAGGGTTTGCGCTTGGGTAGCCAGCTTGCCCTGAGAAGTCCGCGATTTGCACTCCCCCGCCAGGCTTTTATTGCACTTCTGGCTGACCGGTGCATGTGTTCGGTCACACTTTGTGCAGACCCAACGGATTCCCAAATTCACCATATTGTGGGAGGGGTGGATACCCCACTCTTCACGCACTCGCGCCTCCGGCTGGTTGACGCAGTACTGTTCCAAGACCACCTCCAAGTTCGTGAGGGTTTGTTGTACATACAACCCGCACAGTTGACATTTCAGTGTTAAATTCCGGGGGTGTTCGCTGCCCTTCTCCCATTGATGCCCGCGCTCCGGGTCTTTAAGCAACTGCCATAGCCGCTGGCGTTTGTTGAGCTTGGCGTTGCCCTGCGCTTTTTTGCATCCCTCAGCTTTCTGCGAGGCCTCCATCTTCTCTTTGTAATGCGCATGGTCCAGAATGAAGGGGAAGTCTTCTTCTTTGCGCTTCCTCAGTATGTGGGCTGCGCGTGCACCGTACGCCAGGGAAAGTGTGCGCACCACATTGTCCAACTCTTTGACACGCCTCTTGTGCGCTGGGCTGTAAGCAGCCGCCGCTACTGCACCACATACTTTGTCTGCCATGTCATTCGCTGCTCGTCGCCACAACGTGCCCGGCCCCATCTTCGCCAGGAATTCCTCTTCAGTTTTGTGGGACGGGACCCAGGTTGCCTTGATACGTTTCCTGTCATTCCACACTTTGCTCCATTCCAGGTCATCCTCCGGCGGTTGTGTTTTTTGTAGCACTTGGACTGCCGGCTTGCAATCCATAGTGACATCAATCAGATCCTCCGTGTGCTCCATTAGTCGGAAAAGCGCACGGCGCTCCATGTCCACCACCGGCTGCCACGGGTAGACTCCACCAGGACACCATTTGTCCAGGACATAGCCACCACTGCGAGGGCTGATGTTTGTACACGTGGGTCTATTCCTCCTGGACCTCCACTTGCGTCAGTGGCGAAGATCAGGCCTTCCGTTTCCACTTTTGCATCTGCTGCAAAGCATCCTTGGTAACGGAGACCTAAAAGGTGTTCCGGCGGCTTCGGGTGCCACACCGCCGGCTTTGGCAGGAGTGCCCTTGTCCATAGACACTCCCATGGGTATTTGTGACGCAAGTATTCCTGGAGCTTGGGTTCTTTGAACCCTTGTTCACGCCAGTAAGGACATTCTTTGAGGACATGCTCCAGAGTTGCTGGCATTTGGCACTTCCTGCACCATCCTGGCTTGGACTCCGTGATGACGCCCGCATGCCACACTGACTTTATACCTTCCATAAGGCCTGGGCTTAGGCCTCCCAGCTTCGTCAACTTGTGATGCGGCGTCCAATCCAGCCCCTCTTGGGCACCAGCGCCACCTGCCTGTCGCGCTATCGCAGCCCGTTTCTGTTCCTCCAGGAATCCCTCAAGCCATTTGTAGGCGATGCTACCCATGCGTGGCTGGGTCCAATCAACGTTGAGGACACTACCTCTCTTCCATTTGCCTGGGTCACTGGCATCTACCTTCAGATCCAGTAAGTACGCCATGGTTGCAGCCATCGGCCCCGTGACCAGTGGCCAGTGGTGTTTGGCCGCACTCAACCTCTTCCAAGTGGTTTTCCAGGCCAAGTCAAAGTGGGCTTTTCCGCCACCGATCCATGCACGGAAAACTTTGGCCACCACTTTGAAATGCTGCTTGTGGATTGTGCGCTTTGGATCTTGGCATTTCTTGGCTCCCATGTCCAAGATGGTTTCCAAACTCCCAAGCTTGTATTTACCCAGGTGTTTTCCTACCACTGTTCGGAGCCATTTCATTCTTTTGGGTGAAACCCCCACAGAGGGGTGCCCCCACAAAGCAACTGATGTGATCGCTGCCTTGACCACGCGGAGTTTAGTGCTGGGCGGCGGTCCCAGCCTAGACAGTTTGCTATGTCTCGCACGGGCTTTCTTGGCCCGCGTTGCCGACGTCACCAAGCGACGCTTTCGCCCCCCTGTACTATCGACGCCCAGGTCACGCATCACGTCGTACACCTGTGGCTCATGTGGCAGCAGGAGTTCTCGCAGGTGCTTGCTCGCCTGGGTACTGCTGGCCACAAACCCTGTCTTCTTGGATGAAATCGTGAAACCATTAGCATCCATCCCGTCCTTTAAGCTGCGGTAGACTCGTATGGCACTATCCGCCACGTGTTTAAAGGACTTATGCTGGATGTCAATTGAGACATCATCCAACCAACAGTCCACGTTTGCCACATCTCGTCGCCTTTGGATCTTTTCTATCACCGGGTGCAATGCCACCTTTGCTAACGATGGCGCCGCTGGGCAACCCGCTTGCACGCCATTTGTAGCTCTGATGCCTGCCGATAGCACCCCATCCGCCACCAAGTATCTGGCACCCATGTACACTTCCAGTGCCATCTTCAGGATTAGCGGCGGATATTGCAGGGCCGTTGCTGCCATGATCAATTGCTGAAATTGGATGGTATCGAAAAAGGACTCGAGGTCCACAAAGAGTGACACCACATGCACTCCATTTGTCTTTGCCACCTCATTTCGCAGTAGTCTGCCGACGGCCACGTCCAAGCAGCAACTGCCTGGGACTGCCTTGTCGTACGTGGCAGCTGTGGCATAGCCTGCCTGCCAAGTACTTACCAAATCCCATCGCAGACGGACCCAAGTCCTGTACAGGATGTGTAGCAAGGCGATTGGTCTTTCCCGGGTCAGATTCTTCGGCAGCATTGCTATAAGGGAGACTGTCATTTGCTGCGGCCATGCTGCCTTGGCCTCACATTCATGGTAGAAGGACACAACGGCTTCAACTGCTTTATCGTCCATGGCCTGCAAATGGTCAATCCTCCAGCCATCCGGCCCCGGGCTCTTTAGTGCCAGTTTTTTGATCCTTGCCTTGACCTCGACAGGGTTCAGCGGCTCCACGCTGGCCGCTTGTTTTTTGGCTGCATCCTCAAGCTCCGTCATGAGCGAGGCCGATTTTGCCAACGGCTGGCCCGTCGTCCACACTGCCGCCCAGTGGTCTCGGCGAATGTGTGGCCGTTCCAGCATGTCATATTCCATGTAGGGTCTTTGTACCACTTGTTCTTCTTTTCGCAAGGCATTGTATAATGGTCGCATGCCCTTTTCCATGGCCTTACTGAGCCATTGCTTGTACTGGTGGGCTGTCTCCTCCATATCCGCCTTTCTCGCGTAGCATTGCTGTTCGTCGATGCGCTTCAGAACAAGCCTAGCGTCCGTACCCCGGCCCAGGATACTCGCAAGCATATCCTCCTGGTTCTGCGCATCACCCTCGTAATACTCGCCGAGCCTGCATTGGACCAGACGCGCCACCGGATGTGCATCGCCATGATGTCTGCCTTGTTTGACCCATTGTTGGACCCGGTTCCAAAAGGCCGCCCTCTTGCCCGTCCAGACAACGTTCTCCGGGTTGTTGACCACCAATTTCTTCCGCACAATCTCCGATTTAACACCCATACCATCGATTCGGCCTGTGATCGACCTCTCCACACCGGCACTCAGGTGAGCAAATGTCTCACTGAGCTCATCTTCCATCTTGGGTTCATCCAAGATGTTGATGCTCTGTGTGTTTTGTACTGGTTCATACTCCACAGTCTCCGTCACCAGTGCTCCCGCCTTCTTCATCTGGGGAACATCAGGGCTACTGCACGGTTGGGCCACCCTCCAATGCATTGCAGCATGAGGCCGAAAAGGGGTTTCCCAATCCGTTTTCACTTGAAGGATGGGCACCAAGCATTTCGCAACCAGCCCGTAATCGATTTCGTCCGATCCTTGGGCCGTTGGTTCCCCCACTCCAACAAATGCACCACCAACTTCTGTCGCCAGAGTTGTGCCCCTCATGGTGTCCTGGGCTTCATTCCAATCACCCAGCACCATATATGGCACTTTGCAGCCCTTGAGAAAGGCTATCAGTCTCGCCAGTACTTGGATATTGTTTGGAGCCTGGAATCCGACCCCGCTCTCCAAATACAGACTGACGATGATCAAATCCCAGCCTTTATTTCTCATGGCACATGCCAGGAAACCCGCCGGTCCTGTCCCATACTCAGTAAGGTATCGCAGGTTCCTATGTCGGGGTGCCACCACTGCCAGGCCTCCTTGTACACCCTTAGTTTTTGTACTGCCTGGCATGCCAATGAAGGTGTATCCCATATCTTGGCAATGGCTCATGGCTTGCTGGATACCCTCCGTCTTGAGATGGGTTTCCTGCAGCACCACCAGGTCCGGTCCTAGTTCGTGTATCCATGCCGCTATGGGTTTCCTCCAGCTAGTGATGTTAGCCGAGGTGATTTTGATGCATTCGGCCCTATCATCTTGGCGATACCCACTTGCCACATCTGCCAAGATCCACTTGGCATATTGTGCGTCCTGCTCCACAAAGGAACGAAGCACTTCGTGGCATGCTCGTTGTTGTAGCGGGTTGAGTTCCTGCTCTTCTAGTTTCTCAATGGCTTCGAGTGCGGCAGCCTCACTGGAAGCATCATATCTACCCACCACTTGACACAGCATTTGCCACTCCTGTGGTAGATCCTTAGGTGGTGCTCTTGGGTACGCTTTCCGTTTCTTGGGCTTGTGCTTCCTTTGGTGACCCTCAGCACTTTGCGAGGCCGACAACCTTGCTACCTCAGCTTTCTGCGAGGCCTTAGGTGAATTTTACACACCCCCTCATGCACAGATGGTCCTTGGGTAGTTCCCTTCAGTCCTTTCTTTCCTCCTGCTTCAGGATCTTCTTTCCAATCCTGACAAGAGCCTTTCCAAGCTCTTCCGGGTAGGTCCCAGACTCCTTCAGAGACGCACTCTTCGAGTGTTCGTGGTTTCCTGCGCAAACGTACGAAGACAGTTCCCACACGCAGGCAGCACTATTAGAAGCGAACCACCATCTCTTCCAAGTCTTCTCTTTCTTCTCGAAGCAGCACCTATCTACTAGACATCCTTGCGTCAGACCAATGCTTTTAGAGACTTCTAGAAATACCGTTTCCTTCCACAAAGAGGACCTTTCAGGCCATTCGTGGGTTAACAGCAAACCCTCGTTAGAGGCATAGGGGCCGAAGAGCTTCCCTATAAGTCTCCAGCAACTCTTGTGAATCTTTAGCGTCTTCCGCCAAAGTTCCAAACCTCGTCGCTTGCGGAAACGCAGGTACCTCAAGGGGCAGCCTGAGCTGCAAAGCGTAGACAAATGCGCAAAGACACGGACCTTTCCCTGCTTCAGGACTCTTAAGATCTCTTCAAGAACAAGAAAGGTGTTCTTACTCAGAAGATTGATTTCCCGAGTCACTCCGAAGTACGCTATGCCTTTCTCTCGAGCACACGCTCTCGCTATAGCACTCGACTCTTCGCAGCAAAGCTCCAGAACGACGAGCGACACTGTCCCTCTAGCCACTGCCGTCGCGGCTTCCATCCAAGAGCTCGGAACCTCTAGCGGAGAGGACCTTACTGCGTTCGAAGATACTTCCTCAGTGATATTGGGCTCATTTCTTACTTCTTCGACGTTTTCTTCGGAGATCGACGACCACGATTCTGGCTCGGTAATGAGGCCAGCTGCCTCACAAAGACTGACCAAATTCTCCGCAGTTGGGGATTTCGTTAGAGCATCTGCGGGGTTGAGTTTCCCCGGTATATACTCCAGCGTCAATCTTTCCTTGGCGACTAGTTGTTGGAGAAAAGCCGCTCTCAACCCTATGTGGCGGACTTTCCTAAGGAGGGTACTCATTTGCGCTATTGACAGGGCGCTTTCAGAGTCCCCGTACGCGTGCAACTGATATCGGCCTTCCTCCGAGTCAGAAGGCATCCCCTCCACCATCGTCTGCACCAACAGAGATATATACAATCCCTCTCTTGCGATTTCAGTCAGTGCTGCTAGCTCGGCTTCTGCCGACGACAAAGCTACTGTCGTCTGTTTCCGACTGAACGTCTTCAAGCAACAGTTGTTCCAGGTCACAATTCCACCACTCACAGAGTTCAAACCCCAAGACGCGTCAACAAAACACGACACTGACTCTCGGTCCTCATCAGGGGCTAAAAGCTCTCTACGTGAGGGGAACACTTGGACCTTATGCGGTAAACCAGACACCCACCTCAGAACATCCCTCATGCAAGCTTCGGCTGCTTCATTGGGGGCTGACTGGTGTCTTCCTAGAAAACCGCATACATACTGCAAATCAGGTCTTGAAAGCGACGCCCAGGCTAGGCGTCCCAAGGTACGCCTATAGCGCTCGTGCGCCTCTGGCGTAAGAGGTGTGTCCTGTCCTTTCTTGATGAGGTCAGCATACCGCCGCTCTAATGGTGGAAGCTTCGGCGCCACCTTAGTGATTCCGTACTCCTCACAGCAAGACCTCAAGTACTTGGCGTCCAAGCCAAAGTATACGCAGGGCTCTCCGGGCTTTTTCCGGAAGATCCTACGTCCCAAGAAAGACACCTCACCTGGTTTTCCTTCCAAGAGCTCACCTGTTAGCTTAAGCTTGTAGCGTTTCTTCAGGTCTTCATACACCTTTCGAGCTTCGGCGGTGTTCTCGGCCCAAATCAACAGATCGTCAACATAAAAGAGGACAATCACCAAACCATTCTTGGTTTTCTTGCGGAAGATTGTAGGGTCCAAGATCTGCTGGAATCCTTGGTTTCCCAAGTACGCCGACAGCTCCTTGTACCAAGAAAGCGGGGCACTTCGAAGCCCGTTCATGGCACGAAACAGTTTCAAGAAGACCCTTTCGCCAGTCTTTGCGTTTCCTATGTTACTCGGAAGCTGCACAAACTCCGGCCGCGCAATAGCGGCGTGCATGAAGGCTACCGAAACGTCACAGGACAGCACAGACCCTTTTCTACATAGAACAGAAAGTAGGAGCCGCAACCCTTCCAGGCTGGTGGTCGGAGAATAGATCCCCTCAGCGAGCGTGGTGCCGCCCATAGCGGCAAAATCGCGGACAACAAGTCTAGAGCGGTAAAGACCAGGCTTCTTAACCGTATTGACCCAACGGCTCGAAAGAACTCTTCTTCCGCTCTCCTTAGCAAGTCGATACGCTTCTCGCTCGCTCACCACTTCTCCAACGTTGAACGACTCCAATTCTTCTAGTTCTAATTTCATGGACAGATAGAGGAGTTTGGGATCTAACAGCTCACCAGAGGTCTCTGAAACAGCTTGTTGGGGGACCTGACAACAGATTCTACTCCCTCCAAACTTAAGCTCAAAGGAAGACGCCGCTTGATTGCTCACAGCGCGGCAGTCAGGTCCTTCACCTAACTTCTGAAGATAATGATCCGTCAACCAATCAATCTCCATGTCCTCCATGTCAGGTTCAGGAAGATCGCCACCTGCTACCCCCTCATGACCTTCAGATCCCACTTCTGTGGGCTCGTAATCCGGGACATAATCAGGAAGCATTTCTTCATCCTCTGGGGCTTCAATTTCTTCTTCTTTTGGAACAATGGGTTCCGCAGGCGGTTCAAACAGCAAAGGCTTTTCGGGGTCCTGCGTATCAAGCACAAGAGGATTAGCTTTAGCTAACAGCTCCAACGTTGGGCTGTCGTACGTGGGTTCGTCCCGTTCAAAGATCCCACGACACGCTGGAAAGACCTCAATCTCTCCATCTCCTCCAATGACAGTTCCATACACACCTCCACCTCTAGGATGGACGGGGCCCAGATAGCTCACTCTAACCGTCTTAGCTCCCCGGAACTTTTCTAGATGTCGTTTGGAACCGCCAACTTTAGCCTGCGCAGAACAGCCGAAGGGAAGCGTCCTAGTCCTTTGGACTATCTCCTCGTGCAACCTGTCTATTGCCGTGGTACTATTGTTGCTGTCAAAGCTCCACAAGTTGAAACTGCGTGCAGCATACAGCAAACAAGTCTGCCACAACATTCCACCTAAAGGTAACTGCCAAGCGGCACCACCTTCTTCAGCAGGTCGTCGACGCTTTACTTCCGCCTCTAGGTCGAGCCATATCGACCAAAATCCCTGCTTCATTGCAGAGACCTGCCTTTCCACAGCACCTTTAGACTGCGGACGGTATCCTGGCACAACATCTACCATCGTAGGGTTCTCGCGCCTCTGCGCCGCGACCCTCTCGCACATGGATATCAGACCCTGTTCGTTGTCGCACCGAAACGTTAAAGTCTTTTGGTGCAATCCAATTTCGCGGATAAACCGATCGATATTGAATAACAAGTTCGGGTCGTGTATAGTTCCATGGCGGGGATAGACATTGAGTACCGGGACGCAACATGTACAAGAAGAAGAACCCTCAGTTTCCCAAAATAATAGAAATCGACCCCAATGGTTTGATTCTCCTTCTGTAGCTGCCTCTTCAGTCTCCTGGCTGGGACTTTGCCTTTGCTAGAGCAGCAGCTTTCGCAGTTCACATCATAGGGAAAATGACCTCTACGCCCTCTGTGGCCAGATTTCCAAAGGGACGACACAGGTCGGCTATTTTTGAGGTCTCTTGGCCACTCCATCCCAAACAAATCAAGTCAAGCCATGTCAAGGTTCCAGGGCCATGGTTACTGCCGCTTCTGCTTCTGGCAACAAGCAAGGGGAGCGATTCGTCATGCCACACACAAGCACACTTGCCATGCTTAAGGGTTCTAGGGACGTCATGCCCAACACAAGCACAAGACAACATGTCAAACATGCCAGCACTGCCTTGCGTTAAGGCTTGGGACCCTTGAAAAACATGGTAAAACATCTCCTCCTTGCTCTTTTTGGCTCGCGCGCCTAGCGCGTCATTCTTCCAACCCCCAAAACAGAGCTGCGCACCGCATGCGCCGATCCTTCCTTCTTCGAAAACAAAACTCTCATGCCAACACACCGCAAAACATGCCACAAGCCATGCCAAGAACCATGCCAAAATATGCCAGCAAGACTTTCCTAAAGACTTCTGGGCCATTTCAGGGCGTTTTCGAGGTACTTTCGGGCATTTTCGGGGTGTTTCGGGGTAAGCTCTGTGCACTTCGGGCACGCTCAGGGTGCTTGCGGGGTATTCTTGAGGAACTTCAGGGACCGTTTTCGGGGATACTTCGGCTCTAAGCCCTCGCAGCAAGAAAGCAAACGGCGTCTCAAGCAAAGCATGCCGGCAATCACCGCTCTCTCTTCCTTGTGGCTTCTCGACTTCCGCCTTCTTTCCTCCTGTCGTCGCTTTCTTGAGGATGCTCGGTCCTGGCTGTGGCTTAACAACAGAGTCCTGCAGGCAGGTAATCGCGTCTATTTCCATGTCCGAGCCCGAAGGCTGGCGCGGAGAACGACCTTTCCCCGCTTTCTGGCGACGACCCCCGCTCAAAGCCCACCAGGCCCGATTAGCGGATACAAGTTTCACGTTGCGTTTGCCTTTGTACAACCTAGACCCGGTTTTGTAGAGATACGTTCTCCACCCTTTCTCCACCGCCGCCCAGGGACTAATGGCGTTGAACGTCACTTCCGCAACGAGAACCTCAGTCAAAAGAAGGCTACAATCACCGAAAACGACCTCTAAGTCGACGACGTCCGATACGGGGATCTTCCCCCCTGAAGCGTTGTACAGAGTGACCTCTCTCTCGTGCTTCTTGACCACCCTGAATCCGCTGAGGTGTTCAGAGGAAACCACATGACACGTGGCTCCAGAATCCACTAACCAAACGTCTCTCGGTTCTAGCTGAAAGCTGGCGCAGATGCGCTCTACATCCCCTGCAGTCAAAGAGTTGCTAACAGGTCCCAAACGTTGCTTGTCGAGTGAAAAACCTACCCTACGCTCAGACGACTCAGAAAGGCTCAGTTCAGGACTTCGTTGGGCAAAGCGCATCGCCATCACACCCTGTGTAGGCTCTGCTTCCGCCTCGGACTCTGGTTCTCCTATAGCCCGGGCGCGGTTCTTCTTCTTCTTGCCCTTGTCCCCGCCTTTCTCTCCCTTTTCACCCTTCTCTCCCTTGGAGGTGGGCTTTCCTTTCGGCGTTGGAGAGCGAGGCGCGCCCTTCGGAGTGGGTGACCTTTGTCCTTTAGGGCCACCAGTGCCCTTTCCACTCTTCGACTCTCCCTGGCCGCCCTTGCCGCCTTTGCCGCCCTTTTCACCAGCTTCACGCTGTCGGACCCAACAATCCTTTGCCACATGACCATGCTTGCCGCAATGGTCGCAAAGCTTGCCGTCCATTCCACGATTGGCTGCAGTCGGCACGTCGCACATCCTCAGCTGTTCTTCGAAGTATTTGAGGCTCTTCGTGAGCTCACTCCAGCTGTTGGCGTTGCCGTGCAGCGCCACGTACTGCCTTGCCGGATGCGAAACGGCCTGCAGCAGGATGGAACAGCGATCCGCTTCGGAGAGCTTCAACTCGGGGAAGTTGCTCAACTTGATCTCCGCCTTGGCGATTTCGTCCTCCAAGTGTCTGATGATGTCCATGGGCTTCTTGAGCCCCGAACACTGGGCATGCAACTTCATGCAACCGTCTCTCACGTAGACGGCTTCCATTCGAGACACAATGGAGTAGTTCAGGTGCAGGGTGCGAACTGCCTCGTAGCCGGTAGCAGACATGCTCTGCCTTTTGCTACAGCTTCGAAGCAACTCTAAACCACGCTCCCACTTCGCCAAGCTCTGGGAAAGCAGGTAAAACAACTTCGCTGACCGAGCTGCGGTGTCAGGAGGCAAACGGTCCTGTCGGATCTCGTCCTTGACACTGATGCAGAGTCGAAGCTCGTTCACGTAGGCCTCGTCTTGCAGGGCCAACCATGAACTCATCGTCTCCAGGAAGCCGTGCCAGGCCTCAATCTCTCGCATTCTGTCTCTACCCATCTCCTGGTGGGCTATGACAGGCAGCTGTGGAAGGTACTTGTCTGCACGGTTGGAAACGTATCCACCAGATGAACTTCCAGTCTCTTTAGGCCTTGAAGAAGGAAGTGAACTTCCTGTGGACGAAGTTGCAGCGAGGAACGGGTCACTTGGTGCAGATGCCGCTGCGGCTTCCGCCTTGGCTTTAGCCTCAGCAGCTGCAAGTTCGGCATCGTTCCTCCTCTTCTCTTCGCTGTCCACGCGACGAAGCATGGTGGCCACAAGCTGTTGGTTCTGTTCCAACTGCTTCCTGTACTGGTCCATCATGGCTTCCTGCTGTCTCTGCTGCTGCTGCATTACTCGCAGCATCTCAACCACCAAACTTTCGCCAACAGCACCACCACCTGGAGCGGTGACTGGCTGTGAACTCGTCGCTGGCGTTGAGGTAGGAACTCCTTGAGTTCCAAAGGCAGCAAATGGGTTCGGTTGCTGTCCTACCGGAGTCTCACCGGTTCCAAACAGCAAGGCTTCCTCCTCGGGAGTGTTGTCAGGAACTGGGACTTGCTCAGGGGGCAACGCCCCATGCACTGGAGAACCCTGTGGGCTTCCATGCACACTTCCGGTACTTAACACAGGCGCTGGAGTCACTCTCAGTGCTCCGCTACCATGTGAAAAGCAGAGCTCGCGCAGCAGTCTCTTTTTCACTTCGCACTTGAGCCAAACACCAAAGTGTTCAGCAAGCTTCAGTTCTTGCAGCAAGCTCTCTCCAAGAGCTAAGGGCTCCAAAAGCTACGAATTCCATCTCAATTTTGTTCTACAAAGGAGGTAAAGCAAAAGAACAATGCAACTGCTTTGGTCTACACCTCGGGGACTTCAGATCACTTCCGAACAGCAAAACAGCGAAGCTTCAGAGTCCACTCTGCACTCCTACTCCGGCAACGAACGAAAGTGGCAGGGACACGGAGTGAGTTGCAACAAGACAGAACCTCAGAGTTCTGACACGCACTTCTTCACTACTGCTCTCAAGCAGTTCCATGCCTCAAAACTCATCCTAGGCCATGCCAACAAGACAAGACATGTGTCGCAGTCAACCCAAACATGCTTTAGGGACTTTAGGCAAACCAAACATGCTCATGCCAAGTCATGCAGCAGAAAAACTCTTATGCTTCTCTCTGTCTGGTCAAACACCACATGGCTGGGCAAACACTACAGGTGAATTTACACCACTTTCGTTGAAAAATTTTTGTTTGCGTCCATTTTACCTGCATGTAGGACCAAAATGATTTGTTTTAAACCAACCATCCACAGAATGCATTCTAGATTTTTGAGACGCCGCGTTTCTTGCAATGTTTTTTTAAAAATTTTCAAAATTTCAATTTTTGATCCAAACCAAGCCGGGTTGGCTTAGTTGCAAAAAGTTAGTAAGGCTCATTTTGTTTTTTCAGATCATTTGTTGACAATGTTTCTTAAACAAGGAAAAATTTGGAAAAAAAAAAAAAGAACACATCCATTGATGTTTTTTAGAATTGTGCTCAAGCGATTTTGTTTCTGAACCAAGGCATTGCAAAATCAGTATTCACACTGCAGACTTTGAATGCTTGAAAACCAGTGTTTCCTGTTTAAATGTTTTTTTCATTTTTGGAAATTTTAAAAACAATCTGCTTTGACCAAGGCAACTTTGAAACCAGTGTTTTCTGGTTTTAAATGTTTTATGTTTAAATTACAAAAATAATTTGCTTAACATCTCAATTTGCTCAAGTATGGTGTTGCCTTGCATGTGTCAAGCCAGACAGCTGAAAAACACAGCCAAAGTTTTTTTTGAGGTCATGTTTCTTTGCTGGTAGCTTTGTTCAGCCTTTGCAACAGGAAAATTGTCAAGCAGCAGAAAAAAAAATAGGCGAAGTTTGAAGTCTTGGTGACTCATAACTCATAACTCATGACTCCCATGTCTTTGCACTTTCGTTTAATGTTGGTTTGATGGTAGGTGCGCCGTCTCATCCCTCTTTGAATCTCATTGCTCTAGCTTACTGGGGCGCTGTTGCGTCGAAGAAGCAGTGGAGGAAAAAAAAAATGACTCATAACTTCCACAAAATACTTGAACGCCGCGTTTTTCGAATGTTTTTTCAGATTTTCAATAATATGTTAAATTTTAACCCATAGCAAGCCGGTTGGCTTAGTTTCAAAAAGTTAGTATGGATCATCTTGTTCATTTCGTTGACAATGTTTCTCAAACAAGGAAAAATTAAACAAAAATTGACGTTTTTATTTTATTTTGTTTTTCAGGCAAGTTTGTTCAGAGCGTCTGTTTCTAAACCTTCGAAACAAGTTTTTTTCTGTGTTTTAAACGTTTTTTCATGTTTGAAATTTTAAAAACAATTTGATTGAAAAAACGTAGCAATCTCCAATTTGCATCTCAAGTATGGTGTGGCCTGCATGTGTCAAGCCAGGACAGCTGAAAAACACAGACCGTAGGTAATGGGCCCTCTGATTTGATGCCAAGCAGAGAGTGCTTCGCACCTCCATTTTGCCGTCAGGCAAAAAACCCAAGTGCTGCTCCACAACACACGTCTGTTCGCTCTGGCAAAGACCAGGTCGCTTTAAAAGTCTGCCGCTCCAGAGGCCTCAAGCTGCAGGCCCCTTTGTCGGTGTTTTCTGCATGGGAGGCGCCCTTAAGAAGTTGACCGCTCCACGTTTTCTGCTGTTGCGCATCACCTTATTATAAGACAGGTTGTTCTGGGTTCGGTGTTGCTTGGTCCCACGATTTCCGCAAAACTTGAAAAGCATCTGCAAACGAAAACCAATGCAAAAACGCACTTGCTCATGAAGCTCTGGCTTTAACCTTCTTAGAGCAGGTCCAGCCCTTCAGAAGCAAGCAATCGAGGCTAACTCTAAAGTTGTTCTGTGAAAAGTCAGTGTGATTGTTTTTTTTTTTATTCAATGTTAGCAAGAACTGCAAAAACAATTTTGTTTTTTGAACTTTGGAGAAATTGAGAAAACACTGGAAAGAAGCCAGAGTCGTGAAACTTGGACAATTTTGAATTTGATTCATGCACAGCAAACACTTTTTTTCAGTTCAAATTTGCCTTCGCCCGTCTCAAGAATTTTCTCTTGTTTTGTCAAAATTTTCTTTGTTTTTTGTCGGAATGATCTCTCAGTTAACTTGCAAGCTTTAGAGAGAGAGTTTTGAGAAACCGACCTAAACCAAAAACACAAACAGATTGTTCAGAAAAGTGTTTTTGGAAGTCCTGTCAGCACAGTAAGCTGTCAGAAAGACAGTGAAAAAAATTGCAATCGGAACAGAAAGACATTGTAAGAATGTGCATTTTTGTGGTTTCGGTTGTTTTTCTGAGTGTGCATGTGCAAGAGTGTGTGGATGTGTGTGTGTGTGTGAGCATGTGTGGTTGCAAAGTGGGTTGGTTTGCGGGTGCATGTCTTTGGCTTCAGTGTGCAAGGAAAGTGGGTAAAGGGTGGTAAGGCAT